TTCTTTATTAAAAGTAAAAGGGAAATTAAACATATTTATCATTACAGGGTTGATTAATAAATTATGCCGTCCATTTATCTTCCCTTATTTTAATGGTTCTGGTATCTTAGAAGAGAAAGAAAGGGGAGTAGTTGACCAACATACCTTTCTGTTTAGAATTAACCCCAAAATTGAAGCCACTCCCCAAATAACTCAATAACTCTTCTACCAATGACTGAGAACCTCACAGCAGACTCAAAAAGATAATTAAGGCTTTTGTGTGAATAAGATTACTCCTAATTGGTACTAGTTCCTGAGTTTCAAAAACAATAGGGCTGGGGATGTGGTCAGGTACCCCTGAGTTCAATCCCCAGTACAAAAAACAAACAAACAACAACAACAAAAAAAACTCATACTTCAATTTCTATCCCACAAGAATAATTTAGGTAATAGTCTATTTGATGAATGTGCAAAACCTTATTTTATTATTTTTAACAACTTCTTGACAGAAATTTCCTTGAGACTATTGGTATAGGTATTCTTATAAAAATTTAGGTAAAAATGGATTCTAATGGCTCACAAAAATACCATTCTTTAATTAGCACACTACATATGCAATTTGTAACACTTGGCCCCAAGAGTAACAGAATATGCCACTCCAATATATGCCACTTTGGCATAAGGATTATTTTGAACTGAAAGCAACTGAGAAGTGGATAAATGCTCTTGCCTTCCTCCTATTTGCCTAAAATAGGCAATAGGATATAAATTTATGGAGGTATTTTACCTTCCCTCTCTACCAAGAAGGTCAAAGGCTGATCAGCAAAGACAATTTTAGACCCTTATTAACCTAGAAACTGCAGCAGAGAAATTTAAATAACAAACTTTACTAACTAGCTTTATCTACAATATATTTATATTCAAACAATTTGCTGGCCATGGAGACTCGGAGTCCTTTTCCTTTGTCTTGTCAATCCAAAAGGCACTGTGTTTTTGTTGAAGATGCTATATAAGCCAGAGTTCTAAGCCACCTCTTTGATATTTACTCATTTTCCCTGGATACCTTCCTTGTAATACATGGTAATAAACTTTGACTTTTCTCTTTTCAATCTATCTTCTCAGGCTAGGGATATGGTTCGGTGGTAAAGTGTTTGCCTAGCATTCACAAGGTCCTGGGTTAGATCCCCAGCACTGCCCCMCCACCACCACCAAAAAAACGATCTTTTTGTTATTACAGGAATTCAATCCATCTAAGAACTATGAAGGACAGAGGGAAAATTATTTTTTCTTCCTCTACATTTACTTATTTTTTTTTTTTTAGAAGAGAATTTTATTTTTAATACTTATTTTTTAGTTCTCGGCGGACACAACATTTTTGTTGGTATGTGGTGCTGGGGATCGAACCCAGGCCGCACGCACTCCAGGCAAGCGCGCTACCAGTTGAGCCACATCCCCAGCCCTACATTTACTTATTTACAAATCTTTCTTATATAATATCCTTTATACAATTATGATACTTATTTGCCCCTTCCCAGAACTGATGTATTATAGAGGGTGATGCTTGTTTTATTAGTGCTTTTATTCTGACATAAAAGACCACTGGTTTTCCAACATGGAGGAAAGTACTCCAGCTTTTACATAACAAATATGTGCATACTGATTTCTGAAAAAGCCAAGTACATTCTAAATGATAACATTGTAAAATGCTATTTTCTATTTGTATCTATCCACTTTTCCTACTTTAACTATTGAAAACAATTTTCAGAGGAATCTTATTTTACAAAATGAAAGTTCTATTTAGGAGATTTTCAATCATTTGGAAAACATACATTATATCAGGAACTGTCCTAAATATCAAGTATCCTATTTTTCCAGGTATTTGAGAGCAAGATTTTTAAATTAATTGTGTACTCTAACAGCAATGGCACACAAAATTCTCCCTTTACAAGTCAACAGAAACTGCCAGAAGTGGTATCCTCCAAATCATGTATCCCTTAAAGGCAAAGACTATTCTTTACAAAGTATCCCCACTACTTTTACAATACCTAACTAAATAAACACTTGAAGTGACAGACCTGACTCTAGGACACAGGACACAGACTGGTAACACTGATTAGGCTGCTTCAGTCTACCAAAAACATTTCATGATTGGGCTACCAGCATTAATATTTTAAAAAGTAATAATAATGAAGCACATAAGAGAAAACTGAATGGTTAGATCTTAAAACTGATACCTTCCATCACAACAACAAAAAGACTTGTCTAAGAAAATGGTCCCCAAAACTGCCCAAACATCTTCAGGTTGTTAATAAACTTTCTTAGCTGTTAAGTCTTAAAATGTCTGCAAAACAGGTACATACCTGGTGAATTTGCCACTGAGTCAAAATGACAGTTAGCCAGGACAGCATGCTGGGCTCCATCTCTGGGTTCCAGCTTTACTACAACATTGGTGATGTTGTCATAGTAGCTTGTAAAGCCTCCCAAGAAGTCAATGCTAAAGGAGCCTGTAGGCCGTTGTACATCCACTGAAATCTTGTGAAGTCTATTACTTTGAACTTCAATCAATTTAATCTGTTCCAAAAGGTAGTGCACAGTCAGGATTTCATTTTCTGGACTTCCTGTAGTCCTGGGGCCAATGGATGTTATATGTTCAAGATAATCCCTGGAAGCAGCCAAAAGAATGATGATGACAAACACTTGTAGGCTTAAAACCAACACTTAGAACAGAGCAACTTTTCTATTACATGCCACTTCTTCCCTCAAAAAAAGCATAGTTCTTTGGTTTCTCCTATTAAAAAAAAAATACTGCCTTGTTATTAAATCAAGCACTTATTTGCAAGCACTCTACCACTGAGCTACATCCCCAATCCTATAGAACAATCATTTGTAAAATTCCATCATTTTATTTTGCCTCCCAAGAGTTAATGCCTTCAGTTTTATCTACCCATCCGGCTTCCAATTTCTCTCAATCTCCATAACAAATCAATAGAAAGACAGGATCATATTCAAAATGTGTGAACACTGAAGGCTGGATAGGAGAGAATACAACTTCAGGGTGCCACCACTCCTGAAGGTTATTAGTTCTRGGTTTCCAATTCTAAATGGCAGAAATCAATAAGCAAAGACAATCAAGTCAAGAGGGTAAATAARCAAAGAAAAACATTTGGTGAGGAATGGACTCAGCCTTCCTTCTGTGCACACAGGACCTAAAATCTTCAATTCAGGCCACAACAACTCTATCCTAAAGCAAAAAAAAAAGTTTCAATGCATTACAAATAAGGAAAAAGAGAGGGTTAGGGGTGTTCCAGAAAGTCCCTAAAAAGCTTTCAGCACTTTGCAATCAAAGAAAAAGTTTTTAAAACACAATGATTGTTGAAAACTGCTGACTTATGATTTTATTAACTTTCGGACACTTATTACAATACCCCCAACTTAATCACCTTTCCTAACACACCTAAAGGTCTTTTTAAAAACAAAAGGTTAAACCTTACAGTCACTAACCTAGGGCACCCCCAAAGACAATTTGAGAACTTCTGAAATTGTGTGCAAAATTTCGAATGGGTTTTCCACTGAGACTCCATAGCTTTCAGATTTGGGGGCTGTAAATCTCAGAAAGAACACTACACTAGACTCTTTCAACAGTGCCCCCCCAACACACACACACACACACACACACACACACACAAAACCGAATTTATAGTACAGTCTGGACACATATTATTTCTTTCTCATTCATTTCATTTTAAAAGTAAGAAAGCTAATCAAGGCAAAAAGTGGAAGTTGCTCCAGAAGATGTGGATACCACTAACAACCAATCATGTGCAAGGAGAGCACATGAGTAAGTGAAAAAGGCAGCTCCACGTGTAAGTGAAAAAGGAGGCTCAATCCACCCGGCCACCCCCAATCTGTACATACGTACCACGAGATAAACAGGAGACCAGACAAGTCCCCATSCAGGCATTCGGACCCCAGAAGAAGGGCACTTAAGGCAACCCCACCCCACGTGCACCTGCGATGCGGGGACTAAACCTACGCGTCCCGCACCGGCAGGTGCACGCAGGTACCGTGCCCTTGCGCCCGGGAAGGGAACGCAAAGGGACGCGCGGGCAGTCGGGCGAGAGCTGCCGGTACCTGGCATGGCGCGCGTCGAACTCGCCGGGGTGCCCAGAGGTCCCCAGCAGCACGAGCTGCTGCAGCGAGAGCTGTACCAGAAACCGGAGAGCGAGCAGGTAGACAGCGATCGCCACCACTGCGCGTGCCTCGGACAGCCCAGTCCACGCGCCCCGGCTAGCGCAGCCGCTACCCCCCGGGCTCCTCTTCCGCGTCCTCGGGCCTCTGGCCGCGTCTACCAAGGGCTCCTGAGCCGAGGCCTCCCTCTCCGATTGCGACGGAGCCTCCAGTCCTTCCCGACGCTCGGCTCCAACGCGATGCCGCCTCACAGCAGCCGGCTCAGAGCCCCACTCCATGGCCACCAGCCTTAGCCGCCAGCCCAACAGACCCAGCCCGCGACGGCCCCGGCAGCCGCCGCTGCCGCCGCCGCCGCCGCTGCCGCCACCGCAGCGCCTCCTAGTGAGCGGACGGAAACTGCAGAGGGCCAAACTTCTTCTGATTGGCCCGTCCGGCCGCGTCGCGACCAGCTACTTTGGGCAGACCTCTGACCACGGTAGGGYAGGCCCAGACTGAGCGTGGTAGGTATTTCTTCTCCTGTATGGTTTCCCAGCCTGATGGGGAACAGAGATTTCCAAATGGAAAAACACCCATAAGTCTAGAAACGAACAACCCCAAACAAGAGAAAAGTGAGAGAGAGAGAGAGAGCTTAAAAAAGAATGACGGTGGCTTTTATGGTGCACCTGGTGGATGAGGGAAACAATGGCCCGACTTTCGTAAAGAACATTAGAACAGGCTCAGAAARAGTAGATTCCTGACTCTTAAAATGAGTAATAGGGCTCATTTTGCTTTCACATGAACAATCTAATCAGATCTTTATAACCTCGTGTCTTTTAGGAGTTCATGCTAAGAATCAAACACTGTCCCAAGTACTTTAACAGTGTCTTATTTAATTCTAAGAACCCGGAAAAGGAAATATTTCTATTTCTATTTAATACCCGAGAAACTTAGAGGTAGCAGATGAAGAATTGAAATCTAACTCCGTGGGCTTCCAAAACAGCATTTTGTTCCTCTACTACAAACGACACTCTGGAGAAGAAGATCCAAAAAATTTATTCGTTTTTCAGTGTCACCCTCCGTGGTAAGAAGCATAGTCTTGGTTTTAGTGTGAATCCTAGCCATTAGTCTTCTTCCCTCTTGCTTGTGCAGTGAGCCTCTCTGCTTCATTTGTGTTTCCTGGGCATGCAGTTGATACAGTACCATGAGCCTTATCTAGAAACCAACTGGAAAAGCACACTGCACAATTTTGACTTAATACATTTGTCAGATACAATGCACTATGGTTTTCCTCCAGCTACTTCTCAGGCTCCTCTGCCATCAGAATGCTTTTTATTCCCAGCTCTCCAGCCGCACTAGCCTCTTTCAGACTTCCTGCTTACCATCTTTTCTTCTACAACATGATCTTCTCATATGCTATTTGGATTACCCAGAATGTTTTCCCTTCCCCCATTGCCTAGTTAATTTCTAACTCAGTCCTTCGAATCTCAGTGTAAGTGAGAAACAAGGCCACATAAGCCTGGGAGAGAATGTGTAAATGGTACTTCCTCAAACAAGAATCACTTAAGAAAATTAAGCCTTTCTTGTTTCCCTTATTTGACCAGATATGCACAGGATTATTTAATGTTTCCCTCATTAGACTGTAGGTTCCATTAGGGCAGAAATCATATCTGGTTTTGCTCACTGTTGTCTGCTCTTAACACAAAATTGGCGTGTAGTATATAATCAATAAATAATTCTTTTTTTTTTAAAGATAGGGTCTCACTAAGTTGCTTAGGGTCTCCCTAAGTTGCTGAGGCTGGCCTCTAACTTATGATCCTCCTACCTCAGCCTCCTGAGCTGTCAGGATTATAGATGTATGTCACTGCACCAACAATAAATAATTCTTAAGTAAATGTATAARTGAAAACATAACAATTTTATGGAAACAACATAATTTTAGCTCTGTGAGATTCTTTCTAGTCTGTAAGCTCTGTGAAGCCAAAGACAATGTCCATCTTATTTATTCATCACCACATCCATAGTGCTTAGCTCTGTGCGTAGCCCATGTCATCAYTCAATAAGTAATTATTAAATAAAGGAATGAGTATATATTGCCTTCTATGAGAACCAACTGTTTTTGCTATTTACTTCCTCTGAAACCTAGACTTTCTACCATCTTTGAAAAACCTCAAAATCAACTGTGTCCACTGTATAACAAGATGTGGAGGTTTCTGGTGCTTAAGGGAAGGTCACAAATGTCTCAAAGTCTTTTATGCTTTACTTATTTTGTGCCATCATTTGCTGAGCTGATTGGTATCAGAAATCTAGGGACAAAATAGCTATGTGATTGAGTAAATCACTTGAGCTCACTCTTTCTGAATGAATACTTCATGGTAAATGTCTCTGGCCAGACCCTATGGGAGACAGTGTGTCATAATAGAAAAAAAAAACTGGCTATTGAACTCAGGAATCTGAGTTCCTAGATCTGGTACCTTCAATACACATGGCATTATTTAAGTTATAATTTTACCTAGACCAGTTGTTCTTATCTGTGCTAATGGATATATCTGCCTTAATGGGATTCAAGGAGGATTAATCAGTATATATATATGTGTATATATATATATATATATATATATGAATAATATCACACATAATTCTCATTAAAAGCTATTTTAGAGAATTTTCCTTAAATAATCCTTTATAGATTAGAAGTGATTTTCCTATCATGATAATCATAGAACCCTGGGTAGTGCAAATGAAGCTATAATTGAGTTCTTTTTTTTTTTTTTAAAGAGAGAGAGAGAATTTTTTAAATATTTATTTCTTTTTTAGTTCTCAGCAGACACAACATCTTTGTTTGTATGTGGTGCTGAGGATCGAACCCAGGCCACACGCATCTGAGGCAAGCACGGTACCACTTGAGCCACATCCCCAGCACCTATAATTGAGTTCTTAAAAGGCAGTTTTTCTCTTAGACTTGTATATACTATGGCATTCATATTTGAATATTTTTGAGCTATCATATGTAAGATATCTACTCTGTCAGTTACTAATCAGGGTGGGGAAACAGAAGAACAAATCAATGTTCCTGCCTTCACAGAGGTTACATTCTAACAAAAGGAGTGTAAGTGTATGTGAATAAAATGTCAGGGCTAAGTGCTATGAGGAAAATACAGCAGGAAATTGAGAATGACAGAAGCTGCTGTTGTATTTCAGTGATCAGGGAAGGTCTTTCTGAGTAGATGACATTTGAGGTAACCTGAATGAAGTGAGAAATAGGGCCACATAAGTCTGAGAGAAAATGTTCCAGGCAGAGGAAACTGAGCTGGTATGTTCAGAAGCAACACTGGGAAAGGCCTGTAACAAAAACAGACCAAGCCATGGGGCCAGTGGAAAAGAGAGGTCAGAGAAGCAGACAGGGACCAGAGCAAGGAGAGCTCCTGTCACAGCAAGGACTTTGGCATGATTTTGAGCAGTGAAAGTTTGTGCTCTGAGTGATGTTTCCTGAGATCACTCAGTCTCAATCCCAGGCAGGGCAGGAATGATCACACCTACATCACAAAGGCTAACAGACCTTGATAATGTCTGGCCTTTGAAGCTTTTGAGGCCACTCTGATTTATGTGCAGAAAGATGACCACAGTGTATTGAAATGCAGGCTCTAGTTCCCATGTATCAAATTGCTGATAAAGACAAGATGGATGCCCTATAAGATAAGCTATTGATCACTGGGACTAAATCCATTCATTTAGTTTGTCAGACAAGTATGTGTTTCTTGTGTGTCCCTTCATGAAAAAGTGAGAGCTAGAGTGAGCAACAGGCATAGAGATGCCCCATGACCCTTCTCTCTCACCATTTCTTGGATATTTCCTAGTAAATTAGCCAAAATGAGTGGAAGGGCATGTGACCTGTCAGGATTCAGATGAATTGCCAGCCTCTGGCTCCCACACAGGCCATTCCAAAGCAGATGTGCCTTAGAAGGAAACCACAGCCTACGTTTCTCCTTTCTTGGAAGAGGGCCTATCAGGGCAGGGGTGAAGTTCCCTGGGACTGAGACCTTTTACCTGATGTACATTGACATTGAAATTAAGTGAGGTTCCAGGACAAAGGTGAGAAGAGAGTCGAAACTAAATGCAAAAGACAGAARCAGATGTCAAAACCTGAAAGACAGTGAGTCAAAAGATTAAAAAAACAAGAAGAGCAAGGGTTACAAATGCAAATAAGATCTTGTATAAATATTGTAGAGAAGTTCTGTTGCCCATAGCTGGGTTTAATATGCTCACTTAGGTAGAATAAGGGTTTGTCAGTTTGGTTTAAAGGACTAGGGATGGAGCTGAGGTTCAGGGAACACCATTAGTTTTTTGGTTGGTTGGTTGGTTGGTTGGTTGGTTGGTTGGTTGGTTTAGATCCATTAATGCTAAAGCTGAGGCCTCAGGATGCTACTAGACAATTAATATTCCTAACTATGAATCTCTAAATTTTTAATATCTGGTGAAAATGGTCAACTACAGGGCATACCCCAACATGTCAGACTGCCTAGGAACCATCAGGAAAGGGTATTTCAAATGGCACAGAAGCCAGATATGCAAATCTGACTTCTCTTTAGAAGTTTGCTACCTGCCCCACATGAGCTGAGCTGTCCATGGGGCCTAAGACAGCATACCACCCTTACCTCCCCTGCAAACCTGAGTTGGACTCCTGCTGTCTAGTTCCCTGTATCTAGGGAGGCAAGAGGAGTTAGGAAGCAAGTCCAGCTGTGTCTCACTGAACCTGTCACAGCCAGTTTTCTCTTTCCATGGTCAATTAGAAAAGATATTCTCTAGTATATTGATTTTAAAATCAGCATACTAAGTGATGCAGCCACATCAATGTTTATAGCAGCTCAACTCATAATAGCCAAGCTATGGAACCAACCTAGATGCCCCTCAACAAATGTATCGATTTAAAAAAAAAATGTGGTGTATATACACAATGGAATATTACTCAGCCTTAAAGAAGAATGAAATTATGGCATTTGCCCGTAAATGGATGGAACTGGAGAACATTTTGTTAAGTGAAATAAGCCAAACTCAGAAAGTCAAAGGCCATATATTTTCTCTCACATGTGAAGCTACAGAGGAAAAATGCAAAAGGATGTTCATCTATAAAAGTCAAATGTATGGAAATGACTTTAGCATAGAAGGAGAAAGAAAAGGTCAAATTATAGTACATTCAGAGTTTGGAATATCATGTAGAATTAAATGCCGTATTACCAAAGTCTGGTACAAAATTGAATAGATAAGGGTATACTATATAAATAGTAAATATGTAGAAGGTAATTCACTGGACAATGCCAGTGGTTATCTCTGTAGGATTTTTCCTCCTCTTTATTCATTTCTCTCTTTTCCACCTTTCCTACTATGAGTTCAGCATTTCCTTTAGAAGCCAGGGACCTGTGTTCAGGCTCTAGCAGCTCTGTGCCTAGGAAAGCACTTGTCTATTGAGCACTGTCATTTTAATCTTTAGACAGTTTATAAATTAGGCCCTACATGGATGTGATACGACAGGGGAGCAAAGTGTCAAAAAGTTGATCTCTGGTTTTGGTTTTTCTCAAAGAACTCTTTCTTTTTTCTTTTTTTTTTTTTTTTTTCTTTCTAGGTCTGGGAATCAAACCCAGACCCTGGTACATGCTAAGTAAATACTCYACTGCCAAACTACATCCCAGCTCCAAGCACACTTCCACTAAAAAGCTTAGGGGGAAAGATTCAGTAATTAATCGATTGCTGAACCAACAAATTTTTGAAAGAGTTTTCACTTAATTATCATTTCTTAAACTCAGCCTGTGACATGAGAGAAGAGTCAGTGCACATGTTTTTGAMTGGCTTTAGATTCTGAATTTTCTTTTTCTCCTTCATAGAACCCAGGACGTGAAGGTTTCTGGGGACTTATTTCAAGGCCACACACTGAGGGCTTTGTTTGCTTTCTCCACTGGGCTACAGGAGCAGGTGACTTAGGACAGAAGGGTATGACTCAGCTGTTTGGGGGCTGGGGAAGCTGACTCATGTGAATTTGCTCCATGCTGAAACTGGCTGTTTCAGTCTATTAAAACATTCATGAGGGTA